GGAAAAGCTCAGGTTGACATCGTCGAAGCTTTCTCGTGCCCGGCGCTACTCATTTGAAATGCACGTGACGAAAGGAAACGGAGGCTCTGGGGACGAGATAGAAAAGTCCATTTCAGCGGCTCGATATTTCTGCGCACGCGTTTTGTATGGCGGTAACATCCCGGTAACATAGCAACGCAGCAGTGAAAACAGCTTTCCAAGAGCACATCGACAAGAACGTGAAACAGATTGCTGTTTATGGTAGCAGCTTGCGTTAAATAGTTGAAAATGAGTTCAAGACAGGTTCAGCAAGGTGTGTTTCAAGTATGTGTAGAACTTGGCGAGTTTTAATGCTAAAACAACTCGTAAAATGTCATTTTTGTTCCTTGCAGTCTTTGAAAGGTATCAAAAAGAGAGGACAGCTTTCGTCCAGAAAGTCGCGGATCTCGCAAATCATTCGGAGAACATCGAAACGCTACAGAATGGAGGTAAAAGCTATTTACGTGAACAAGCATTTCACGCAATTTAGGCATCTAAAGAAACATTTTCTGTCAGTAAATGCTATCTGATTATGTTGATTAAGTTTACGATAGTTCAAAACTAATAATCGATCAGTTGTTCCAATAGATGAAGCTTACCTTTCCATACAGAAATCACAGTTTAAAGTTCAAACTGTGTGGAAGGATCGCAATATAATCTGGGAAAATAATTCTTAATACGTTCAATCTAATTGACAGAATTTAATTATTATATTCGCTGTTATATTTAGGCGATCATCATCTTGGTTAAAGCGATTGTTTTTTCCTTTAATGTAATGTGATCAATTATACATGTTAATGTTTGATTTCAAGGTGCAATGGCTCTTTTAAGACCTCTTCTACTTGATGTTGTACCCAGTATTCAACAAACAGCCGCCTTGGCTCTTGGCAGACTGGCTAATTACAATGAAGACCTTGCAGAGGCTGTTGTGAAAGGAGACATTCTACCACAGCTTGTGTACTCTCTGGCAGAGCAAAATGTAATGTTCTCATAAGCTTACAGCTTTTAGTAGGAAATCGTGTTATAACTGTTTTACATAACAGTTAGAGGGGCTTCTATTTGACTGGCAACTATGTAGCCATCCTCAGAAAGGTTCCATTGTTGTCAACTATATTTCCAGATATTCAAGCTTGCATGTATCTCTCCATGTAAGGCTAGAAATGTAAAGCTAGATGTAAAGAGATGTCTGGAAATATTTTAAAGTGCCTGCACAAACAGAAAACAAACTGCAAACTTCAAAGTTGGACTCAAATTTACCTTAACTTGTTCCGATAGAAAACGAAGAATCCAAACTGAAGAATAAGTTGCAATCGTATAGCAGTAGATTTTATTTGATCTGAAATCAAAATTGTACAGACATAGTCTATTTTCTAAATGTAATCAAGTAATTAATAAGTGAAAAAGGAAAAAAGTGGAAAATATGCCTGCGACAACCAAACATTGATAAAAGCAAAACTATGCGGTTCGTAATACAAACTTAAGCACAGATCACTGATGCTTTATAGGTAACAAAACTCAAAGACTAAATGAACAATTCAAGGGTAATTTTCCATTCACTTACTTCTATGGCGAGTTTTCTTAAATGTCCTTGAATGTGTTAAGCATAACTCTGGGCAGCAGCTAAAACGGTAAACACTCCTTTCAGTATGGCTGTCGGTAAACATCTGAATGAAACTAAACTACTCAATCAAATTTGAACAAAATGTGCACTCTTGCAGTTCCTTTCAGGCGTGTGCGGTTTTTGATTTTCCTGTTTTTGTTAGCTAAACTAAATTCTTCACATAGTACATTGACTATCTTAACATAACTAAATTTATTAGTGATTTTATTGGGAGTGTCCCTGATTAGTCGGCCTCCGGGCTGACTAGAAGTTTTAGATACTTAAATAAAGTTTATTGATTGATTGATTGATTGATTTGTTTGATTTGAGAGTATTTAATAACTTGACAAATTCTGTTGATGAGTACAATTGTACAACCCATTCAACAAAATCTCAAATTGGGATAACTTTTTATGCTGGCAAACCCCTTGTTTGCTGGTCTTTAAAGCAATTTCATTCTTTATACTAATATTTTCTATTACTATTACTAATTTGTTTAAGCTTGTAAGAAACTATGAACCAATAACAATCTTTTCTCGTCCACAGCGGTTTTACAAGAAGGCTGCTGCATTTGTTCTTCGAGCTGTAGCAAAACACTCTCCCCAGCTGGCACAGGTATCATAAGTCAATGGCTGTTCTGTTTACATGTGTGTAACCCTATGTTAATTTATTGATCCATAAAAATTATGTGGCAGTTATATTGCACTTTCAATTAGGGGACGCAAATTTTTGTAACACTCCCACTGAGGGTCTGGCTGGATATTTGTTAGTGTCCTTACTTTTGTGTGATTGATTATACAAAGGGAAAACCTACGACAATGAAAAATGTGTCTATTGATACTATCTTAACACCATTTTTGGCAATAAAATATGCATGTCTTAATACATATTTGTGTACAGTAGTTCCAGAAAATATCCATACAGGCCTCCCCCATGGAAAGGTTTTTTTTAAGAACCCCCCACACCTCTTTACAATTAAGCTTCATACATTCCTTTAAAACTTTTTAACAAAAGGATTACAGAACCCCCTCCCACCCCACCCCCAGGAAGTTGCAATTGTTCGGACTCCAAACTTGAGTTCCACAGAAAAGAACACAACGATGTCCAATGGACCCTCTATTACTCGCACTCAGAACAGTTTATTAAGCAGGTACTCATTGCTCTTTTCTAGGCTGTAGTGGACTGTGGTGCTTTGGATGCTCTTGTTATCTGTTTAGAAGAGTTTGACCCTGGAGTCAAAGAAGCTGCAGCCTGGGCTCTTGGCTATATTGCTAGACACAATGCTGGTTAGTACATGAAGGCAGTGCTGAATGATGCCATAATTTGCAAAGCTACATGTTAGCAGTGTAAAATGGTTTACTGTCAAAAATGACACAATTTTAAAGTCCCAAAATCTTGGCTCTTTAATTGGGAATCTCAAAATAATTTGAGCTTGAAATTTTAGGGTTTTTTTAACATTGGAATCTCAAAGTCTAGTAATTTTTGGATGAGTTACATTTTTATCCTGATATTATTTTCCTTGCTAAATCCAGGAAATAATTAATAATATGACTGTCACTCAGAACAGTCTTTAAGCTATCCTTCCATGTACATGTAAATGTTCTGTATATCCACACCTCCCATTGTTTCAATTAAACCGCATTAAACTTATCTAAATTTGTTAAAACATTTTCTACATGTACATTCTTGTTTCAGAGCTCTCTCAGGCTGTAGTTGATGCAGGAGCTGTTCCTTTGTTGGTCCTTTGTATTCAAGAACCTGAAATGCCTCTTAAGAGAATAGCTGCATCAGCATTAAGTGACATTTGTAAACATTCTCCAGAGGTAAGCTATACAGAGCCAATAATATCCAATGTGATTGACAAATCAAATGACTATTTGTTGACTCTGCTACGTATACAATGTCACAATGTTTTGCACTTACTTTGGCTGATCGCAATGTTAGAAATGTAAAGATGGATGTGGCATGGCAAGATTTTGCATAGACTTGCTGCCAAATGTAATTGTTATTTTAAAATTTGTGTCTTTGTTTTTGTTGGTGTTTTATTCACAATATAAAACATGTATAGTGTAATACGTGTACAGCTCACTGGAATCTATAAATGTTGTGTTTCATTTTTATAAATCTATTTATAACAAGCTAAAAAATTAGTTAAAAATACAAATTAATCCAACTTTAAATTAATAGGGATTAGATCAGCAAACCACAGACTGAAAGAACAGCTACATATTTTCTAGTCATCTACATCTATAGAGCAGGCGATTCCGTATTACTTAAGGTCGATGGATGCTTGACTATTTTTCACTTTCATTTAGCTGGCACAAACAGTAGTGGATGCAGGAGCAATTGCTCATCTTGCTCAGATGATTCTTAATCCAGATTCAAAACTAAAGGTAAGTGTTATGAATATTATTACAAGTTTTTAAAAAATAAATTAAGGAGTTTACCATTCAGGGGCTTTATTAAGGACCAGACACCAGGCAAATTGACCAGCTGTGAGGAAAGTTATACCCACCTGGTTTGACCATCTAGAGGAAAGTTTTTCTAACAATTAAAAGAAGTCCAGTTCCAAATGTTTTGCCTGCCTGTACATGTAAAAACCAGTCTCCCTCCTGCTCAAAATGTTAATGAAATCCCTGTTATCAGTGCAAGTGCAGTTCAATTTGTGCATTTTTGCGTGACTGTCAATAATTCAATCCTTTTATTTGTTTGTTTGTTTATTTATTTATTTGTTTATTTGTTTATTTGTTTATTTATTTATTTATTATTTATTATTAGACATGTTATTACAATTATTAATTTTTTTGGCAGCGACACATATTTTCTGCATTGAGCCAGATTGCGAAGCATTCTGTAGACTTGGCTGAAATGGTTGTTGAAGCTGAAATATTTCCAGCTGTGCTGGCCTGTCTGAAAGGTAAAAAGTCATGCACAATCTTGACCAATCACTCTCCAAGGTGTTTAATTTGGCAGTGAATTAAGTTGACATGGTAAAATATATAACATAATCATTACATGGCGACTGGCACAATGACATAATGGTGGGTGTGTCATACTCTGGATCGAGCAGTCTGGATTCAAGCACTGGCTGAGGTCATTGTGTTGTGTTCTTGGGCAAGACACTTTACTTTAACAGTGCCTCTCTCCACCCAGATGTATAAATTGGGTTCTTGGTAAATTGTTGGGGTAACTTAATTGACAGAATGCTGTGGGTAACCCTTCAATGGACTAGCATCCCATCCAGGAGAAGGAGTGATAATACACCTAGCTACTTCATGCCACAGAAACTGCAGTTAAGCTCCAAGAGCTAGAAGCCAGTTGGGCTTACACTGTAAGAGGAATTTCAACTTTAATTATTGACTCCACCTCTGCATCTCCAATAGATTTTTACCAGTCATCAGGTCAAAAAATTTCNATTTATTTATTATTATTAGACATGTTATTATAATTATTAATTTTTTTGGCAGCGACACATATTTTCTGCATTGAGCCAGATTGCAAAGCATTCTGTAGACTTGGCTGAAATGGTTGTTGAGGCTGAAATATTTCCAGCTGTTCTGGCCTGTCTGAAAGGTAAAAAGTCATGCACAATCTTGACCAATCACTCTCCAAGGTGTTTGGCAGTGAATTAAGTTGACATGGTAAAATATATAACTTAATCATTTCTTGGTGACTGGCACAATGACATAATGGTGGGTGTGTCATACTCTGGATTGAGCGGTCTGGATTCAAGCACTGGCTGAGGTCATTGTATTGTGTTCTTGGGCAAGACACTTTACTCTAACAGTGCCTCTCTCCACCCAGGTGTATAAATTGGGTTCTTGGTAAATTGTTGAGGTAACTTAGTTGACAGAGTGCTGTGGGTAACCCAGTGATGAACTAGCATCCCATCCAGGGGAAGGAGCAATAATACACCTAGCTACTTCATGCTACAGAAACTGCAGTTAAGCTCCAAGAGCTAGAAGCCAGTTAGGCTTACACTGTAAGAGGAATTACAACTTTAATTATTGACTCCACCTCTGCATCTCCAATAGATTTTTACCAGTCATCAGGTCAAAAAATTTCAACCTGTACACAACTATGATTGTCTTATAATGTGTAAGGTCCATAAAATATCCGTACCTCCCTCGTGGAATGGATTTTTTTCTAAGACCCCCCACCCCCTTGGAGATTCCAATGATCTTGGAGAGCCCCCTGCCCACAGGGAATTTCAGTCCCTTCTTTGGGGGGAGTATGGACCTTTGCTGGAAATGCACAGTAAATCATAATTGGAGGATTTCATGCAAGAAGGGTGTATGTATATTGCTTTTGGCGCGATATACGCCCTTTTTGCATGAAATCCTTCAATTATTGAAACCATGTTGGTTTCAAATTCAAATAAAGAAGTTTGTTGTCATTTTCATCATAGATGAAGATGAATATGTCAAGAAGAATGTGGCAACTCTCATTAGAGAAATAGCAAAGCACACACCAGAGGTATGTTACTACTAAAAAGATCTACAATGACGTTAAAAGATTACTTAAAACTTGAAATATATATCTTCTGATACTATCGACCATTTAACACTGGTCTACAAAAAATTCCTGAGGGGCTAACCTTGAGAAAAGATTCAGTTGCAGGGACTTTTGGTAATACTTGGTAGTATGCCCAGGAGGGGGGACTCCTACATGAAAAGGTCAGGGATGCTCATCAGAAAATTTTAATTGAAACCTGAAAGGAGACTACTGTAATCTGGTCTAATCTACTTTGACAGCTAAAAATAGTGGGGATTTGTCATCAACACCCTGTGTGAGACCAGAATCCTTGATTTATACCCCTAGTTAGGCAAGATGACAAGCATCCTCTACCTTTTCATATGAGAGTCCAAACCCCCCCCTCCCCTCCCTGATAGTAAGTTCAACTTGAGAAACTTTTAATCCTTTTGATGCACATGTAGACTTCTTATCTGGTTCAACTTTGTATTATGTTTGTAAATTTTGAGAGTGTGTGACTGTGTGTCCTACAGATTACATCCTATTTTAGAGGATCATTTTATTTGTTTTTTTTAATTTTTGTGTGCCTGAACGTCTGATGTTACACGACTTTTGTAGAATAATTCTCAGCCCTTTAAACCTTGCACAACACTTAATTGTTAACAACCTTGTACCTGTGAGTTATGTACAGTTATTTATGAAACTTTGTTCACCTTATCCAATCAGCTTGCGCAGTTGATTACAAATGCTGGAGGGGTTGGAGCAGTGGTAGACTATATCAAGGAATCCAAAGGAAATGTACGTCTGCCTGGAATCATGATGCTTGGTTATGTCGCAGCCCACTCAGAAACACTTGCCATGTCTGTTATTGTTTCTAAGGTATGAAGGACAGTGCATTTGTACAGAGGTTTT